ACTAACTAGTTAATATTTTATTACTTGAAAAATATTTTATGTTTTATATTATAAAGTAATTAATTTATTCTTTTGTTTTTATATTTTGTTAATTCTTTTTTATAAATATTTTATTTGAAATATTAAATATAAATTATTAATGGAATAATCTTTATTAATATACTGTATTATATTAATATAATATACTAATATATTATATTTTTAATGTACATTAGTCGACATAATAGGAAAAAGTGTATTTTTTTTGGTTATTTGGACCGATTTGGTCGACATTTCCGAAATATAGGAAGTGTTGACCGACATAATGTAATTTTTATGTTACCATCCATTTCCGTGTCGGTGAGCCTCGACATCGACATATGTCGGGCAACATTAGCGACATTTGAAACCATGGCAACATCCCTTGCCCCTATCAACCATCTTGCCCAGAACCTCTGAATAGCCCTCATGGCTACTTCAGCTTTCTGTGGCCGGAGATGAACTCTTCGGGATGAGCTGCATCAGACTTCTTAGTACCAGATGAGCTGTGCATGAACCCTCCTTTTTCTCACTACAGTAAGTCCTGATTTAGTAATGGCATTTTGTGTATCTGATCCACTGTCATTTATCAAGGCTTACATCTTGCTAAATTAAATTAATCCTCTAACATAGGCAGATCATTTATAGTATAATCTGTTTGAACTTTGAACATAACATTTTACAATTACAAGACTACCAATTCTATAGAGTATATATCCAGAAGTGTCCATGTAGTTTCTGGTGTCATAACTATGTATCATCATGTCAAGCACTAGTAACCTAGGCATGTACAGGTATCCAGGCAGGTATCATAGACATATAGGATACTCATGCTCTGACTTTTGCATTAAGGCCTTGTTTGTTTAGAAAGAGGCCATTTACCTAGGTAAGTGTTTCCTAGGAAACATTTACCCACATAAGTGTATTTACCCATGTTCTTTTTCGTTAAATTTACCCGAGTAAATGAGACCTTTCAACTTCCCCATGTTCTTTTGCCTCACCCACTTTCCTAGGTAAGTGGTTAATTTTTCTATGTTTTGTCACTTTTACCCTCGGGTCCAGATCCATGCTTTTTGAATTGTACTTTTTTTAATGGGCATTTTTGACATATTATATTTTGAGCATTTACGGGGACAAGGGTAACACTTTCCCAGGTAAGTGATACCCAAGGGAAAGGCATTTACTGTGGATCCCACCTAAATCTTGAAAAAGAACATGGGAGAGTTGGTCAATGGGAATCAAAATCCCATTGACCGACTTCCCCCCTTCCAAAATCCGCGAAAGAACGAGGCTTAGATTCTACTTTTCCACATAGGACAATTTATAATGCACATTTGAGAGGCTTATTTCTTCCTTAACACATTGTACCTTCCCTAGCCTTCATGTGATGGTCCACTTCTATATACACCAAAGGTTTTCATCAATAAATTAATAAGCAAATACAAATTCAGCATATAATATTTTATACATTAGTGATGGAACTAAAACCAACTTTTCAAAATATGCAAACTTTCCATATAAGATGGCCCACCCGGTATTAAAGAAAAAGAAAAAAACAACAAAAAGGTGAGTCTGTTGGTTTAGTGGAGGTGAGTTTGTCTTACCGTGTATGAACTCTTCTGCATTATGCCATTTGGTGGAGGGAGCCGTGCAACTGGCTTTGTAGCATCAAGAGGTAAATTAGGCTTTGCCATCAAAGGTCCACGGCCCATAGACCTACTGTCAAGAATATCCTTGCTCACATAAGTGGAGGATCTTGAAGCATCAATAGGCCTAACAGATGGAACTTGCCGCAGCCCATCCATAGGAACCGGAGGAGACAGACCCCTAGAGGTGCCTAAAATCCTATCTGGGGATCTACGTCTCAATCCATCCAGTGTCCATGAAGAATAAGATTTCCTCAATGAGCCCATATGGAGCAAATCATCTGCACTCCTTGTGGGTGGAATTCGCCTCAAGGGGTTAGTAGGCTTTGGTTCTGGCATGCCATATTGAGAATCAACTGCCATTGCATATTGGGATGTTTTTGACAGCCTTTCACGGAGGTCCATGTTTCGTTCATCACTACCACTCCTAGGTCGCCTAGACATATTCTTTTGCATGAGTTTGAACCGAAGGTCATCTCTACTGACCCGGGCACCTTTAACCATCCAGGGGATCAAAAGTTAGTACAAGGAGAATAAGTTCAGAAACAATATTAAGCCATTAATGCAATAAAATTGCGATGCTCGTGAAGTGGATATTTTTGGTTGTTACCAGCCATATCATCAGTAGTTGGACTCCATTTATTATTCTCATTCCTCTGCCTGCAGAACAAAATAAATCCATCAATTTAAAAGTCAAACAAATATTTAGATTGCTGCATAAGGAAATGACGGATAAATGCCCAAATAGGCAAATATCATGCCTTGATCAGAATCATCTATACAACTAAAATAGAATGACAAATTATGAATTTTTATTTGATCCACTTCTTATGGTGGTCTCAAGTAATCTCATCCCCCACCCCACCCCCTTTTTTGCTCTATACAAAAATTTGAATGAAAAAAGGAAGTAGAAAAGCATATGTATGGAGGTCAACCACACCTTTTGTTTTTGGATTGGCTCCCATACAGCATTGGGCTGTCAACATTACTCCCTAATCTCTCTCTAATGGATCTCTTACTCCCAGACGACGGCACATAATCAGAACGAGTATTGTCTGGTACGGATCCTGGTCTCTTGACGACCTGCAAAACATACCTAAGAACTCAATTACCTCGAAAAAAAGTGGATACTTCTAATAAACCGTGTTCTAAAATACATATATATGATAAAAGAAAAAAAAAAAAGAAAGGATTTTTCCCTTCAATCAATAGCAAAGACACCAATCAACTAAACGATTCCGAACTTTCTCAATGTTAAATTTAAGCAAAATAAATTAAATGACTCAGAGACCGACAAAACGGCGAGAGAGAATGCCATATAGAAAAACAGAAGGAGCTTAGCTCGTCAAACCCTAATAAATAAAAACAAACCCTAGTTTCAGTCAGATAGATGAATAGAAAGGATACCTGACCACTACGCCCCAGGGTTATCGTCACCTGGGGCCTCGACATTTCTCTCAGCTTACAAGCGACTGAATTTCAGAAGCACCAAAACACAGATCAATCTAACAAGGCTAAAAATAATCAAATCACCCACGAAACTTCACCGCATGTGCAATCGAACAGGACTGAAACCCTAAACTAAACTGCCCAGCAAGAAGAATCAAAGAGATGAATCAGGAAAATAAGGGTTTGGGTTTCAAGGGGGAGAAGATGAGAGGAGTCTCATTTTCATATTCTTAGATATACACCTTCTTTTGTATATATCTTTAACCTTTAATTTCTCCGGCGACGCCTGTATAAAATATATACTTTAATGGAATGAAAACTGGCTGGAGACCGGGAAGGAGGGAGACGAGAAGTAACAGAAGAGGAAGCGGGAAAGAGAGTCGATAAAGCGAGGAAAGAGGGAGAGAGGGAGGGAGCGGGGTCTTTGGCACAGCTTTGAGCCTGAGGAGACAAAAGACCTTGGCCCGGCCGGCAGTAAGGCCGTGAGGGCCTACCGGCCTAGATCTGCAACTTGGGCAGAATGGGCCTGTTTCCGGGCCAATTCACCTAAGGCCAGGCTCAGATAACAAGCCCGGCCTTGCTAGTCCAAGCCCAGTTCAACCTAAATCCAAGACGTTTGGCCCGTGTTGATCCAGCTCTAGACATCTAAGATTATTCTAAGACTCTAAGCTTATCTTATGTTATTAAAAATGAAACGAATTTAGCTTGAGTGGTTGAAGGGTTATTTGGTATGTATAAGAATTTAGGGTTTAAATTTTAGAATATGAGTACTTTTCACGTTGATAGTTTCAAAAAAAGAGTATTTTTCACCTGGATAGCTCCAAAGTTGGGGATCATTAAAATTAAGGGTCCGTTTGTAGGAATAGGAGTCTGGAATCGGAATCGGAATAGGCTATTCCGATTTCAACTGTTTCGTTGAGAAGAATCGGAATCTCATTCCCATTCTTGCTATAATGGATTTCCCCATTTCAGGGAATGGCCATTCACTGCCCCTCCCTTGAGAAAAAAATTCCAGTTGTATTGATTTTAATTCCCATTTTCATTATTGTCTGAACCAAACAAATTATGGAAATGGATCATTCTAATTCCGATTACGAATCAAATGGACTCTAACTTTGATGCGTCATGTAATTCGAATGATTGGTGTTTTATTGCATGCATTAGAGATCATTGCAGCATGGTGCTTGATCTTAGTGTATTGTATTAGGTTGGCCTTATGGAGACTGAAGAACGTCATTGAGAAATGCCTTTGTGTGAGCTCACTTCCCCGTTGGTGTCTCTTTCATCTATTCGTATTGTGAAGCAAACCAAGTGGCTCACTGGCTAGCTTGTAATGCTCTTTTCTAGTGGTAGTATTGTAGCTGCTTGTCTTCTTTGGGATCATAGGTATATCTGTTTTTGTGATATGTGGGGTCATGCTACTCTCCATCTTAAAGAAATTATAGCACCTTTTGATAAATTTCTTAATATATCCTTATAGTTTAAAAAATTGACTAACTCTATTATTATTATTTAAACAGTGTCTTAAGTACCTTTAAAGTTTTATGATAATTGTCTAAAACCTCCACTTCCCTTATTTTTTCGTCACAATCCGTTGCATGTAACATCCCATAATTGATATATTTTCTAAAATTTCTTAAAATACCCAGAAAATCCCCTTGGTGCCTCGCTTTCAGCTTTCCCCTTCTTTTGCGGGATGCAGATGTAAACTCAACAGAAACAGGACCATCGTAAACTTAGGCGAGTCTGTGAAGGAGCGTCTTAATGAGAAATTTCTCCTTGCGCTAAACGAAATCTGCAATTCTTTATTGCATGGCATAACACGTATTTCTTCTCCCTCCTCTCTAAAGTAAGCCCCTCTCCTCCTTCTCCTCACTCTCTCCGTCTCTCTCTCCCATGTACATCTCCGTCTCAGTCTCTCTCTCTCTCTCTCTTCCTCCCTTATTCTTAACTCTCCCGTGAACATCTCCTCTCACTCCCCCTTTTCTCTATTTTCCTCGATTCAGTAGCAAGTGAACAAGATAATTTATTGTCTGTTTTTTTCTCTATTTCTCTATGTCTCTCTATCAAGACAACATTAGTTAGAGCTTTATGCTTCGATGAGATAAGTTTCTGTAAATCTTAACCCTAAATGCTAACATTTTTGCCTTTCTCTCTCATCTCTCTCGTCTCTCTTCCATATGCATTTGTGTCTCTCTTCCTACCTCTTGTGTCTCTTTCACTTCCTCGCTCTTTTCCCCCCTCCCTCCCTCTCTCTTGACTTCTTTCCCCCCTCATCCGTCTCTACTTCTCTGTTATTTATTTATTTATTTATTTTTGTTTATAGGTTTTCCTCTTTTCTGTTATGGTTTTGTGTGCCTTGGTCTCCGTGGTGGTGGCATTGTCTATGGGGCTTCTAAGTTTGGCCTCTTTGTATGGTCGACGAAACCGTTTACATGGGGAAATCGGATTTGCTCCTCAATACGCCTCACATTGACGGAACTGTTTACTCTGTCTCCGTCTACTGGATCGTTTAATCAAGAAAGTAAATTTGAAAGAGAGGGAAATAGACAGCGAGTTGGTGGTTCCCAAGCCGAGTGAGTTCTGCTTGCATTTTGATTTCGTCGTAGACAAAGCAGCAGCAACGGAATAAAATGGAGGCAAAGTGACTCTTTGAGTGAGTTTGGATTGCAGTTCGCAGAGAGCGGACATGCTGACTCACCAACCAACACAACCCACATTCGAAAGGCATCATTTCAGACGTGTCGTGAAGCGAATGAAGGCATGGGGTTTCTCTACATTTTCACCTGCCTCCCCTTCTCCTCCATGTTTTTTCTCAAATCAACTCCAATATCCGTCACGTCCCACCTCTGTCTCTGTCTCTCTGTTAACATACCAGACCACCTGTAAACCAACGGATTCCAATTTCATCTTCTCTCTCTGATTCTCTGTAGGCATGGGGTTTCTTTACATTGTCATCCGCATTTGCTTCTCCTTCGTGTTTTTTTCTCAAACCGACTCCATTACCTATCACGGCTTCACCACCTTTGTCTCTTTGTTACCCCTACTAGATCACCTGTTAACCAACTGATTCCAGTTCCATCTTCTCTCTGCTTCTTTGTAGTTTCGTTTCGCCTGTACTTGGTTGGGGGTTAGCATGGGAGACCAGCATGGGCTTTTTTTTCATGTCTTTCTTGTTAGTAGACTATTTTATTGTTTTTTCTAGGTGAGTTTTGGTGCAGGTGTCAAGTGCCACAACCACCTTTGCTATGACATTCTCTTCATCTATGTCTATTGTAGAATATTACCTTCTGAAGCGTTTCTCTCGATATGGTAAGTAAAACCACTATAGTCTCTATTATTATTATTGATTCTGTTCTGCCCCTTTTTGAAGGTCGAGAACAGTTCTTGACCCCAAAAATAAAGAGAGAAAAATATGTATTTGGGTGTACATATGCATTTGTGGCAGCCGTTGCTGCCTTTATAGGGCAACATGTAGTGAGGTGGCTTATCATTGTATTAGGGGGGGCATCCCTCATCATCTTCATCCTCTCCATCACAATCTTTGTCACTGCAATCTCACTAGGTGAGTATCATTTGCGAAAAAGTGGTTTTAAGTATTAACATCTTCATTTGTATGCAATAAGGTTGTCTTTGGATTGTGGGGCAGAAGTGGAAAAGCAGCTTAGATGCTGCAATTCAGTGGAAAATGAGAATTGACTACTCCCTTCCCAAGTTATTATTACCATCCATTATAATGATAGATAAAAACATGACTAATAGTAATAATCTGTTATTCTCTATGATTTAGAGCTGAGTGGTGAAGGAGATTTTTCAACTCCTTTTCAACCACATATTTCTGCTTTTGCTCTAATGCAAACAAGCTTAACTGAAAGACCAAACGAACTATTCTTCTACATTCACCCTCAAAAAATTGAGCTTCTTTAGTACTGAAGGCTCTTTATTTTATTTAACAGGTGGAGTCGGTATATCAAATATGATTTATAAGATTGAGAAGAATGAGTACATGGGTTTTGAGAACCTCTGCAAGTATGATGCTTAGTCCAATTTTTTTTCTTCACCTCTCTTTCTTGATATATATATATATATATATATATGATGATTCCATAGTTAGTATATTTAAGCTCAAATAGCTTTGTTCATTATTTAATTTAATCTTGCGTTACTAGTTGGAATTCTGGAACTCCCATATATAAACTGTTTCTGGGTTCTGAGCCTTCTGGCACATGATCATTAATAGTAAAATTTTCATTGACTCTAGACATAAGATATATAATTGGATGAAGAGATCAGCCTACATGACGGATTGATTGATCAGACTTGGGGTACCATAAGTTGTCTTCTCTTATAAAAGAAGCAACTGAATACACAATTTCAATCTCAGAGATGCACATGCACTTAAACTATACAAAATCAGCTTCTACTTGAGCACTAAATATGACCAAAGAAATGGCAACCATCCTTATATGGATTCTCAAAGTGGATCATGGCTTTCACATACCTATATGATAGTTCAAAGGGGGTGTCAATTGGACTGGATTTGGTCCAATTCAATCCGATGAATACTTTGGACATTTTGGACCAGTTCAAAAGATCAAAGGTTTACCGACCTGAGCATGAAAATCCTAGAGGCAAAGAAGGTTATGGTCTTAGCTGGTTGGACTTGAAGTGAGAATGGATGAAGCAGTTTGTGATGGGAGCGCTTTTATCTTTCCTTTTCTGAGAACTAAATAAGAACAATTTGGTTATTTTTATCATTTTACTAAGACTATTAATTTTACACAATTGTTTCTTTTTGGAATAGGTTTGATATTGCAAAAATCTTAGCAAACTTGTAATTCATATTATGGCTTTGTTTAGACCTTTAAAAATGTGGGAAAATACATGGTTGTTAATTTTAATAAATTCTTAGTTACTAAAGAACACTAATTAAAAATTTGAAACATTTGAAATTTGATATTTACATAGTTGGATCAATTATCAATCCCATTTAAAATAATCAACCACTTGTCAACTTTAACTTGTTCTTGCAGCTTTCTTCAAGTACAATTGTCATCTCCCTCGATTCCTTCAGGGGTCCATGTTGACTCTTCTATTGAATAAATTATTTTCTTTCTTTTTCCATCAGAGATATCATCTAAGAATTTTTTTATTCTTTTGCAGGTTACCATCAAACCCCAATCTCCCCGTGTCTAACCTGTGACACATGGTATCTTCTTCCTTTTATTTGATCCATTTTGTAGGAATTTTAAGAYCTCAACTCTTCATTGTATTTCTTTTTTGTTTGTTCTGGTTTTTTCGAACATGCATAATCTGTTTTTCAGGTATTTTATGATCTATCTTTGCCAAATGGTTTCAGTTCTCTGCTTGGGTTTCTAATCCAGCCCCTGCAAAGCAGGTGCCCCTCCGCTGGTATATACTTATTATGGAACGGGTGGTTTCTCCTTGYGCTAAATGGAATCTACTCGTGCGAGTAGATTAGCGCTCTCACGTGCAGATATTTTGTACGTGTAAAAAACATCTGTTTGTTCAACCAAGGGTTTGATTCACGAGCATACAGACCTTCGAGTCAGGAGAGCTTCGAGGTAAGAATGGGAGAACAGTGAGCGTCGAGTAAGAAATCCAACGGCGAGCTTCGAGGAAGAAATTGAGGAAGACCATCTCGTTTCAGCTGTGCCTCCCGTAGAAAACCCTACTGCTCTTTGATTCGCTGTTACTGCAACCCTGTAAGGTTTCTGGAGACGGATCTGTTCCCTTCCAAGGTATGTGGGTTTAACTTTTTCTTTCATTGCATTCGTTTTGATTTTTCCCCGTTCTTCAAAATCTAGGGTTTTTCAACCTCAATGTTCTATTGTATTTGTTCTCATTGTTTTCTCTTTCTCGGTTCTCGTTGTAACTAATTTGCTCATCTTCTGTTCTCAGAAGATGATTGAGAGAAATAGGAAGTAATTGATTGAGAGAAAAATACCGGAGTACACCAAGGTCCTTCACCTCAAATTCTTGGTGAAGAAGCTGTTTAAGAGACTCAATCTCATGGCTATCATTCCCTGTGACCACAATATC